ATGGAAACTACTATAGTATATTGTATTGGCCCATGTTTCTGCTCCAGTCGCTTCTTCGCTTCAGGCCAAGTCTCCGTTTGCGGCCTGACGGGCAAATCTGCGCAGGACATGGTCCTTGGAGCTCAGACTAGCCTGGTAGACCAGTGCGGCATACCCTGGAAGGCCTTCGTCTTGCACAAAGTTTCGGATATATAGGGATAATGGAAAATAAAATGGAAACTACTATAGTATATTGGGGGTTTAAGGTTTAGGGTTTTATATAGGGAGACTGGAAAATAAAATGGAAGCTACTATAGGGCTAGCGTTTTTTTTACTTGATGTCACGCACCACTAGTCACTAGTCGTGGAGCATGTTGGGAGAGGGAGAGTCGGGTGGGGGGGGGGGGCGCTCCGAAGTGTTCGACAGGCCTTAGCAATGCCTCAGTAAGGCTCAAGGTGAATTTGGGGCCGCCGAGCAACTACCCAGTAACTACCGAGATGTAGCGCCTAGTAGGGAGTGCTTAGCGAGCGCTTACCAAACCTTCGTTGATATTTCTCAGATGCAACCCCCCCGCTCGACCCCCCCCCCTCCACACATGCGTGATCTAGAGTTTCCAAAGTCAAGAACCTAGAGGCTGGGACTATATTTGGGTTATATTGGGGTTATTGAGATAATGGAACAATGGAAACCATTATTTAGGGTTTCGGATTTAGGAAGTAGATCCACTCTTCGTGTTCTTCTGCTGATGCTGCAGGGCCTTGCTCGCGTATTGGATGAAGACGGCCCATTTGATCTCGTTGCTTGTCGCACTAAGTTTTGCAGTGGAGACCTACCTTAGCCAAATGGGGGTTGTTGAACAATTCGGGGTCTCTCCGTAGGGTCCCTAGAATCAGGATGATTTTATCTTGGTCTATACTGAGTGCCCCCTGTTGATGGACCCCTCCCAAAAAATGTAGGTTTACGTTGGTTGACGCTGCAGATAGCGCAGCTTCTCAGCTCCATTACATCCCCCCATAAGAAAAATCCTCTTCGAAATGAATTATACTATAGTTTCATATACTATATTATACTAGAAATATAGTATATTATACTATAGTATGATATACTATAATTATAGTATAGTATATTAATGTTATAGTTTCTGGGATTTTGATGCAGGCTGCCTTTCAGGAGGATCTCGTTCAGTCCGACACATAGCCCTAAACCCTGCACCGCAGATTTTCTGATAGCTGGGTAGCTCCCTTGCTGTTAATTACATGTTTCGAAGTGGCAACATTTGAAAGCTAAGAGCTAGTCCCAAGACGGCAGTACTCCCAGGTTTAGGGTTTAGGGTTTAGAGTTTAGGGTTGAGCTTCCATAAACGGGCAAATAGGGCCCCCAATATTATATCATAACCCTGGACATCGGGACTTTCAAAAGGGGGCCCTCAGTTTGGGAAATTCCAATTACCGTAAACCAGTATGAGATCATCGCAGTGTCCATTTCATTTATCCTTTTGACTCTCTCTTACTGGGGTAACATCCTTCAAGCCTAAACCCTGAACGCTAAATTAGTAAATTAAAAACCTTCAAACTCTAAACACAGATGCTCCACGCCCAGGTCATACTGATGGCAGGCACCAACGACCTTCCGTTCGCACCCAGGTGAGATGGGTTCAGACTTTTTGCTGCTTAGGGATTAGGGGTTATATTGGGATTATATTCCCTTATTCCCTGCTAGGCGCCAGTATATAGTAGGGAATGAAGGCATGGAAAAACATGGAAAACTACTGCGTTATTGGGGATGATATGGGGATTGCTATAGGGATCTGTCCCTATAGATCCCTATAGTAGCCCCAGCCCCATTATCCACTCAGTAGTCTCCTGTTCCTTTTCCATTCATTTTCTTGCTCAAGCTTTGACCCTAAACCGTAAACCCTAAACCGTAAACCCTAAACCGTAAACCCTAAACCCTAAACCCTAAAACCCTAAAACCCTAAACCCTAAGACCAGCTTTCTGCTTGACTCCGCACAGCAGGTCAGGGAAGCCTCAAAGCTTGTCGTTTACTGCCAAATTCTGCGACACCAACATCACATGTACTATAGCCTAAACTCTTTAACCGGCTTTCTATAGAGGATTGTATATTGGAGTATTACAGGGCTTATTAGGGGGGATACTCGGAGTTTAGACTATGGCTCAAGTGACGTCAGGAATGTGGCGCCACGCGAAAACCTGAGTGTGAGAGGAATCGTCAATTGACTGAGAAATGCTTCGCAGGCGGAGAAATGCCGCGGCCAACCTCCGCAGTTTGCACCAGATCTGCCACAGGCTTGCTAAGCCACCTTGCGAGGTTTCTTCTGGTACAGAAGTTAATCTACGTGTGTCATCCAAAATGAGTACCGAAGGGAAAATGTTGCAAACATTGCCGATTCGAGTGTGTCGTCCCCAGACCTGCTAAAGGATCCAAAAAATGGACCCCCCTAATCCCCTAGTTTCCCAATGTAGTAATGAGTTCATATTGGCGGGTTCCATTTTTGTATAACCTCAGTTTCCATTTCATTTTCCATTTTCTTTTCCATTTGATTCTCCACTATAGGGGTAAAAGGTACCCCCCAATTTTGGGAATATATACCCTATAATCCCTATAGTTTCCATTTTCTTTTCCATTATCCCCCATAGAACCCCTATACAACCCCATATAACCCCATCTGGGTTCTAACCCTAAACCCTAGTCTGCCAAGAAGGCATGGAATACCGACCATTGCGCTGGCCCCGCCTTTGGCGCCGATTGGAGACCAGCCATGGCAACGAAATCGTGAGGTACTCTTGGAGGAGTAGCAATAGTAATAGCATAGTAATGATAGTGATAATATATGGGTACCCATATAATCCCCATTAAGCCCCCATATAACCCCAATATACCATAGTAGTTTCCATTTTCTTTTCCATTATCCCAAAATAACCTCAATGTACTATGGGCCCGTGTCGCGTCTTCCTGTGTTTTCTGCTTCGTTTCTGCGATGTGTGCAGCTTGCAGCGGAAGATCTGCGCCAAGCCCAGTCGACTAAGTCAGTAGACTAGATTCAATATGGGCTTGGCTCAAGCCTTGGTCACATCACCTAAACCCCAAACCCCTAAACCCCTAAACCCTAAACCCTAAACCCCTAGACCCTAAACCCCGAAACCCTAAACCCCTAAACCCTAAACCCCTAAACCCTAAACCCCCAAATCCCTAACCCCAAGCCCTAAAACCGGCTCCTTCCGGCTCCGCAGGAGATGCAAACGGTCTTCCAAGACTTAGGCCTGCTGACGTACCTGGATCAATGTTAGGGATCCTTTAGAGGGGGGATATAAGGGTTATATAGGGATATTATAGGGATATATAGGGTTTAGGGATCCTTTTTATACTTTTTGGTTTATGGGATTCCTTCGATTTATGTAAGAAGGATCCTTTTTTCTTCCTGGGGTAATGTGGGCTAAGGTACTTGGATCCAAGCACGATCCTACGCCGTGACGACACTGGGCTTCGAAAGGGATTTCCTTAAGACAGGGATCCCTTTTTAGGGGTCCCTATAATCAGGACTATAGTATATTGGGGTCTATACTGGGGTTCCCCTATTTCGGGAAACTACCAAAAACCTTCTGGAGATTCAGACTCACCTGCGCTATAGTCTAAACTGATAGTATCCCCCTTAATATCCCCTATAGTAGTCTCCTAGATAATCCCCTATGCAACCCCCTTTGAGGAGGTTAGTTGCTGTCTATATGCGGCCTTGCCAAGGGACCATTCAGGGTGGTTATAGGGGGCACCTTGGTAGTTCAGCATAGTTCATTAAACGACATCGGAGATTCAGACGTCTCATATAGTGCCTTAAGGGTCCAAGGACCCAAATAATGGGGTGTCAGAGCCCAAATACCATTAATATTGCAGTATTTGGGCCCTCAAACCCTATTATTTGAGTCCTTGGACCCTTAGGGCTGTTTTTGTATGTAGAGAAGACGAGGCAAGTTTTAAACGGTTTTGTCCAGGACCCCTTGATGTGGGATGGGGATGGTCTCCACTTCTCGCAGATCGGCTCCTATGCCTTGGGGAAGTCCTTGGCGAAGATGCTGGGTTGCTGGTAAGGAACTCAAAATATAGGGGTTATATAGGGATAATGGAAAAGAAAATGGAAACTACTATTTAGGGTCAAGGGTTAGGGTTTTGGGGTTTGGGTTTTAGGGTTTAGGGTTATAGTCCCCCATAAGTAGATAGAATATGGGGTATATGGGGATCTTATTATAATATGCCCAAAGCCATATTCTATCTACTCAAGGGGGACTATATATAGATATATATTGTACTTAATATGGTTTCCCCAATATAGCAACTTAAATTAAGGTCCTGAATCCCTATATTCCCCCAGTTTCCATTTCATTTTCCATTTTCTCTTCCATTTGATTCTCCATGAAAGGGGGATAATAACCCTAAACCCTAAACCCTAGACAACAGCAACTTAGGATGGTTTTGGAGCTTTGCGAGACTTGGAGAGACCAGTTTTTTTTTTTTTCTCTGCCGTGCGGGGTAGAGGTGAGACCCAACATGGAGATAATATAACGAGTATTATGGGGGCCTATTAAGGGGGGATACTAGGAGTTTAAACAAAAACCCCGAAAATCCCCTATACACTCCCAGTTTCCATTTCATTTTCCATGTTCTTGTTTATTCGATTCTCCATTATGTGTGTGTATATATATATATATACACGCACACCGATATGGGCCTACATAACCTCCTACATATGTCTACATAATCTTTATCCCTGTACAGCTCCTATCTGTTGGGTTGCTGGACCAAGGCCAAGCAGCTATCTCCAGTGCCTATGCGTTTCAAGCGTCAAAGGGGCTTGAAGGTGCCAGCATGCCCAATATCTCAGTGGCAGCTGGCATTGAAATTGGCTTCGGCCCTGGAGGAATTCAAGATCCCGACAATTTTGTGCAGCGCCGGTGATGCCCAGCTGCTCAAGGCAGCTTGACCGAACCCCAGATGCCCGTTAAACGGCTTTACACTAGGTTGATTAGATAATCTTTGCGTGTGAGGGTGACCTCTAGCCGCGACTGCATCAATGTTTGGAATATGTACAAACCGTGATGCATGTGTTTTGGAGACCCTGAGTCGTTGACTTTGGCTTGGGGTCTTGTACAGACGAATCCGGCCGTTGCGACGGCTGCATTTGACTTGCACTAGCTTTCGCGAAGCTCTCGACTTCAAGAGCCAGCTTTCGTGTTACAGTGCCAGATTCTGGCAAAATCATGGCCGTGATCTTTTGCTAGGAGGAGCCTTTGTGAGGCTTGACGAGCTCAACTTTTCTTGCCTGTAGATAATTGTTCGGAGATAGATTCTTGCTGGTTTGAGTCTGCACAGATAACTGCACCACCGCCACGGCCTGACGTCTCGGAAGTTCATGACATGAAAATGGTGCTGTTCGCTTGCTCTCAGGATGCTGTCTAGCTGATGACACCGTTTCTTTACATGAAATCAATCAGTTTAGGGTTTAGGGTTTAGAATGCATCAGCTAAAGTAGAGGGTCTTGGTGGCTAGCACACCCGCCTAAACAGCAGAACCTCGGTGCTTTTTAGGCAGGGGCCAGAGCTATGGATGCTACGTTCAAGCCTGCGTTGGAAGCGGTGCGCTGGGCCGGGTTGCATGGGTTGTTGAGGAATTTAGATTAAGTTACCATAATGGGTCTATGAAGTAGCTTATACCCTTGCCCAATACAGTAATTTATATTGGGTTCCATAACAGCAAACCAGAAGACTTTGCTAATCCTTGGCTTGTGACTTTGGGACTCGGCTGGTCTGTACAGCTGTTGCCCTGCTTGCTGAAGTACGGACGTCAAGAGAAAGTGGGAGGTCAGACATTAGGTGTATTCTTTGGGGGGTCCCTATAACAAAGATTATAGTAATTTGGGGTCTACATGGGGTCCCTATTTTGGAAAACTGCCAGTACAGATCCTAGGATCGTGGACATTCCTGTGTTGCACCCTGAGGCTTCAACAGAAAAACACCTCTTTCCCTAAAAACCCTAAGCCCAGTTTACCCAGCGCCGTTTTCGAGTGAAGGCCCCAGTACTTGGAGGTTCATGGGACTTAGTCAGTACTTATAACTGGGCTTATAACCCTACATATAACCCTCCTAATTGGACTTGCGTAGATTACCCCACTTAAAGGGTTATAAGCCCAGTTATAAGTAGTTACTAAGTCCCATGAACCTCCAAGTATGGATTATATGGGCATCTTATTATGATATACCCAAAGCCATATTCTATCTACTTAAGGGGAACTATACCCTAAACCCTGAACCCTAAACCCTAAACAGTAGTTTCCATAGAGTCGTCACCCAGAGGCTCCAATCACACGCTGCAATCCTTGATTCTGGAATGCTCTTACTGGGGGCTAGTAGGGAACAAGGGCAGATATCGGGTTTGATCTAGAGATAATGGAAAAGAAAACGGAGGCTGTTATTGGAACAAGGGAATATACTACATAGGCTTTAGGGTTGAGGTTTAGGGTTTAGTGCTAGTAGGGAATGCTGGAAAATTCATTTCCTATGGAAGTTATTCAGTGTAGGCCAAGCTGCATCCAACTTCCACCCTAAATCCTAAACCCCAAACCCTAAGCCCTCAGCCCTCAGCCCTAAACCCTAAACCCCAAACCCTAAACTCTCAGCCCGAAGCCTTAAACCTCGGAGGAGTTCAGCAAGGCCTTGGCGACGCTGCGGCGGGATCCTTATGGACGTCTTCCGCAGAAGCAGGCCGAGGCAAGGACGGAGATCTCAGCGTTTCTTAGGGGTTTAGGGTTTAGGGCTTAGGGTTTAGGGATTAGGGTTAAGGTTTAGGGGTTTAAGGTTTAGGGTTGAATTAGGGTTTAGGGATTAGGGTTTAGTTTTTGGGGTTTAGGGTTTGATAAGGGTTTAGGGCTAGAAGTAGGGAATGAGGGAATAGAATATAGACAGTAAGGATTGTAAAGGGATGACATTCCCCTGTTCCGTCCCTACTACCCCAACCTAAACCATATATATATATATATGCATACATAAGTGAATAAATAGTGAATAAGTACATAAGTCAAGAAATAAGTATAATATATATACATATATATATATACATTTATATAGGTGTGTACACACGTATTTCCCTACTCACCACTAGTCAGGTAAAGTTTTGAATAAGACAGGAAGTCTGCTGTAGGAGGCCATGCCTCCGTATGTGGAGCTTTGGCTTTGCACTTCCAAGTCGTCATTCCTATGTTATTCTTGTAGAATCATTATATATAATCCCCCATTTCACCACTAGATAGTTTGTTATCCCTGTATAATCCCTATCCTTCATCCCCCATTTGACCCCTATATAGCCCCTATATAACCCCGCATAATCCCTTGACTTATGCGGAGGCAATTGTGGCCTTCTTGGCTGCCTCCCAGCCCTCTGACAAGGATGATCCGGGATGCCTCTTCACAATACCGTTTGTTTGTGTGGCACCATAGATATCTAGATTAAGGGTTCGTGTGCTGGTAACCTACCAGAATTGGAGAATCAAATGGGCAAGATGATGGAGCATGACATGACAACTGGCGTGCTATAGAACTTGATTGCAAGTCCGTTGCACTTGCTTCGAGCGGAGAGCAGACAGAAGCAGGTAACTGGGGGAATCTTTGGCTCTGATGCAGTGCACATTTTACTGACTAGGGGGTCCCCAATATGGACCCCTGAAAAAGATATGATAATCCGCTTTATAAGGACCGCAAAAAAGGTACTCTTCATTTTGGGACACCTAATCCCTGTAAACCCCTCTATCAATCCAGCTTCCATTTCATCTCCATTTTCTGAGTTGATTCCCCATTATTAATCATTATTGGGCCCCGCGCTCCCCCCCGTATTTGCCCGATATAATCCCATACACTCCCCATAGTCCCTTGAACTTCGTTGGCTATGCAATCGCAGGAGCGCTTGGGATGGAGCTTCTCCGAAGAGCTGGATTCCTTTACCAGGCCCAAATGAGTAGTATTTTATTTGAGGATACTATGTTACCCGATATAGAGTAAGATTATATCCTCCTTTATTTTAGATAAGGAATATAATCTTACTAGGTTCAACCACCAAAACAACGCTACTCAAATAGGATCCAGGGTTTAGCTCAAAAAGGGTAAGGTTGCTAATAGTACAAGTGCTTACAGGTCGGGGTTCAGGGTGTAAAGGGTAACATTACCAGTAATACTAGTAGTAATGATGTAGGGTTTAGGGTTCGTAACAGTAGTAACAACACTGAGGATACTACACATCCTGCCTGACCTTAGGATACCACAGTACCATAATTCCCACATTTTTGGGTACCTGGGGCCATTGCAAGATCTTTAGTATCCACCGTCCATAAACCCTAAACCCTAAACCTCTTAACCCCTACACCTTGAAAAAAAAACCTACACCCCTAACCCCTAACCCCTAAACCCCTAACCCCTAAACCGCTTTTCCGCAGAGGGCTAGATCTGACAGAGCAAGCCCGGAGATGCTGTGTGATCACGCCTTTTCCTGGGTTGCTGCTAGGGAACTTACAAAAAGGTACCATCATGGGTATACGTATATATAGTTGAGGGTTTAGGGTTGAGGGTTTAGGGGGTTTAGGGTTTAGGGTCATATTTCTATACCTATAATGGAAAATCCTCACCCGGTCATAGTGGTTAAAAGGAATATAAAAGGATCCTAACACAATCCTTATCCCTTATAGCCACTCTTGCTGGGTGGCAGGTCCTCCTAAAATATACATACAGTAATGAATATGGTCTCCTTGATGTGGTAACTTAGATTAAGTTCCCTACCAGCAACGCCCTAAACCCTAAACCCTACAGTTTCTTGCTTGACAGGATACTCCCTTACGTGATATGCGCGTTTAACGCCATTGACCGTGACTGCGACGCGTTGGTCTCTGCGGAGGCGCCCGGCATGTTTGCTTCAACTTGCTGTGGGATAGTGGGGAATATGGGATTATAGGTTTAGGGTTCAGGTTTTAGGGTTGCACAGGCGTTATTTATGCTTACTAGTACTATTGCCATTATTACTACTATTACTATTCTTCATACTATTACAAAATCCAACACGTGAATGCAAGCTTGATGCAAGTTGAACTTTCAGGAAGTGGAGTTCTGGCTAAAGAAGCCGAAGCTGGAGCACAGAGTGGAGGATCGGGCTTAGGGTTTGAGGTTATATAGGGGATTCTATAGGGTATAGGGTTACGGTTAGGGGTGTAGGGTTTAGGGGTTTAGGGTTTAGGGTTCTTCAAGTCGGCAAGCTCCAGCTCAGCTTGGTATGGGACCTGGAGCGTGCTTGATTGAGCATACCATCTGTCTGGGGCCGCGCTTGCGAGGAGATGCAATGGAGTTTGACAGACTTGAAAAGCGTGGAGGCCATTTTTTGTCAGGACCATGCGGGTTGAGTTGGTTTAGCATTTTGACTGCCACGGTGTGCTAGAGTCACTAGAGCATTCTAGGATGCTTTTTTAGACCTCGTGTCCGAACGTGAAGGTATCCATCTGCGCATTGAGCTTAGCTGCGTTCGCCCATGGTCGAGCAATTTCGAACAGCACCAATTGGTAGTTTCCCTAAATTGGGGGGACCCCTAAAAATCAACAAAATACGACAGGACCCTCAAAAAGCTACAACTAATTTTGTGAATCCTTAAACCCTAGACCCTATATGCCCCCAAAATAACCCCTCTATAACCCCAATATACCCCTTCATAACCCCCTTTAAAGGTGCCCCAAACCCTAAACCCTAAACCTTAAACCCCAAACCCTAAATCCTAAACGCCAAACCCTAAACCCTGGACTCCTGGCGTTCTAAGGGGAGCTTGCCCGCGCTGTGCATCTCTGGCCTCTCCGGCCCGAAGGGTCTGGCGAGGAACTGAGATTTCTACTAGGGTTTAGGGTTTAGG